CAGACAGACGGACGGACAGACAGATAGATAGACATTTGTATACCATAGGTATAGACGTGGGGTCAAGCTGCCCAGAAAGGATCTTGTATTGGGGGCGGTTGGGAGCTTTGGGGTCTGACCTGAGGTAGCCAGCATGGCAAGGCTGGAAGCCCGGGGCCCAGCCAGGAAGAGAAATTCGACATCCCGAGCTCCAACTCCTCCCCCACATGTAGGAGGACAAAAGCCTTGAGAATTAGAGTAGGCCTTGAATGGGGTGTTGGGGGGTACGTTTCGAACTGTTGGGCTGAATTCGTTTCGGGATTGCCAGAATTTTGTGTGTCTGTGGGGGGCGGCCTCTCCCGGGTTCCAGGAATTTTTTGGGAAAGACGAGCAAACCGCCGGGGTTTCGAAGAGGAGAACTCGGTAACGAGGAGTCGAGAGAGAAGTTTGAGACACAGATGCCAGCCGCTCGAAAGGAATTTGCCTGAGAGGAAAATTGGAGAAAGAGGAGCAAACCCGTCGAAACGGAGTAGAATCAGATGTGCAAACCATTGGAAAGAGAGTAGGGGGCTTAACGAAAGGAGAGTTTTAGGAAGAGGACCAAGGCAACTGATGCTGTAGGGTCCTTGTTAATTCCAACGCCCTTTGCTTTAGAAGACTTAAACTTCAGAGTCTTTAGAGGTTCTTGTCGGTATGGTCAAAACCCGGTATTGCTCTGATTGGGCTTCAACTGTTTGGGCTCTTCGGTGGTGTAACACAGTGTAATTACATGATAAGGGACTGTCAGGGGATACTACTATAGTATATCAGTATACTGATTATTCCGACCCCTTGTAGCAGTGTGGCCTGTGGCCTCAGCATGTCAGCTCCAGGCTACTACCCTCCACTTCGCTTTCCTCGATTGGGCGAGGATTTGAGCACAGTCCCCAGCATGCTTGTGGTGTAGCGTGCCTTTGTAGAGTATGGCCATAGTGGTATTTGCAACTACAAATGCTCAGAATGGTAGCAACAAAGGTGGCAAGGAACCTGATGTGACCCGTGGGGTAAGCATAGTAACAAGACGGTCGACAGCAACAGTAGAAGCTAGCACGGCACTTAGGGAATGACAACGTTGTCTGCGGGGCAGGTGTGGTCGACTATTGCTTGGCAGGCGCAGGATGAGTTGACCCGGTAGTTTCACGATGCAGCATAACTGCTGAGGTCGAGTCCAACTGGGAGCGTAATTGGCAAAGTGCCTTGGGTGCGTCCAATCATGGTGGTGATGCTGGTGAACCAACAGTTGACTTGCATTGTGAAGTGTTGCTTGCTTGGGTGTCTGTGTGTGAAATGTCGTCCTCCTCCTCCTCCTCCTCCACTGCTCCTCCTCCTTCCCCCCTCCGACAACCACTTCCAGGGGAGGACGTGGGCACGGGCACACGCAACACCCCCCCCTGCTGAACTGGAGCTACGAGCTTGTGAAGGGTCAAGGACGGGTAGGCCCCAAGACCCAAAGCCCAAGACCTAAAGCTCAACTCTGCACATGGAGCTCTATATATATATATATAAAATCATATAACCATATAGTCATATAATGTAATATAATATAGTATAAAATAATATATAATTCTTAAAGGGTCTGGGCTGTAACCCGGCTGCCAGGCTTCTAGTCCAAACTTCCAGCCGCCGCAACTAGCCCAGGCCCTGACCGGGCCGCCTCCTGGTGCAACGGGGAGGAGCCGAGGTGCCCAGCGCTTTGGGTACCGGCGATGTGTGCCGGCTTTCGTGTTTTGGGACTTTAGATTTTGTGACTTTTGCATCGGCATTTCTCTAACCACCTGCTTTTTCCTTCACGTTCGGAAGACCTTATAAAGAATAGCAACGTTGGCGAGGCGTGCAGTAGGTCTTTTTCTGGGACTTGAGCGGCTCAACGTGCAGTATACGTGCCGTGGGAACGAGTGTGGTTGTGCTGCAGAATTTCGGGTCTGTCGCAAGGAAAAACATGCTTTTGAGCTTGTGTTAGCTCTGCCCCAGCCTGGAGGAAGTATGCGACCTTCAGCAACATGAACGCCATGAGGCCTGTTGAGTTTATCCCACCGTGTTGTCGACTGAGGTGCTGTTGTCGCTCTCTTCCTCTCCGGCTCTCTCCCGCCCACTCGCTGCCTCCCTCTTTCTGCAGCAGGGTCTCGGAGCACTTTGCCAGGCACATGCAGGCAGTGCCACCGACCACCAAATGTAACAAGTCCATGATCGACTAAAGCACTGCTTTGTTGGCGTCGGCTCCATCACAGCCCGGACCCTTGATGACTACCTGTATGGCACCAGTAGTTGGGCATCAACCACGCTTCGGAGGAAGAAGCTGCTGGTGTATGCTTTCAACACGAAGCATGACACAAGCGGTTCAAATCAGGCTGCTGCTGCAAGCCCAGTCTAGCGACAAATCCAGTGGCGACCAGGCGTCCTACAATCGGTTCCTTGACACGAAAGCATCTACACACACACACACAGTTGACGCACCCAAGGCCCACCGACCTCCAGGATGCCAGACAAAATAATCCAGGAGGCTGCAGGAAGTGCCCCCAAACTCAAAACCAACGGTGGGGCAATTGTCCCTCTCTTTGGTGATGATTTCCGTGTCTCAGCCCAGTTCACAGCACGATGCTTTGGATTTTTGGGTATTCCGAGACCAACCTGCCGGACGACCAAAACAAAAAGCCCCTTTGCCGATTTCGTCTCTGCGAGATGACAGTGTGTCTGTTTGGGGCTGCAAGGTGCGATAGAGCTCTAGATCAAGTGTTGGCAAAACCCTAAAAGCATCCCTGCAACCTTTGGATCTGCAATGACTCGTCACAGGGTGACCTTCGCCGATGCGCACGGGAATGTAAGACGTCCTCCTCCCCCTTGCACTTGGGTTCAGGCCGCAACTTCCGGCGCATGTCGACGCCATGGACGTGGCAAGGCCCCGGAGTAGCGGGGTTGACTACACGCTTGCCCTATGGCCTATTCCCTGAATGAGGGAAAGCTTGCAGACGGCAGGCGGCAGCCGCACACATGGCAGAATGGGCTGGATGCGAGGCGATGCTCACACACATAATTCCCGAGATCGATCTGCAGATGGGTTCATCGCAAGACACTGCAGACAGTCTGCAGGCTTCCAACCCGACAGAGTCTCCTGCTGGCGCGTCTCTGCCCGCAGGCCGCACCCCTCGCACCAGAACGGCATCGACTCCCTGTGCGGATCCCCACACGGGCCTCTGACTTCACCTTCCGGGTCACAGCGCTGCTGAGGTCAAGACTGGACGTGGGTCCCACGCAGGGCTTGGTCAGGCCAAGGCTGGCATTCGAGCATGTGGCAGCAGGCTATAGTGTGCTACAAACTCCTGCTTTACCAGCGGTTATTTGTCTCTGCTCCACCTGTGTCGTGGCATGCCGTGGCAGTCTGACTTCATCTCGGACTCAGGGTTTGGGGAGGCTCAGGTGGTATAGCAATTCGAATGTTGTACTTGATGAAAACGTCAACCTGTCACTTAGAAATACATTCGACAGTACCTGCCACTTCGTCGACGAGTAATCAAGTTCACTGCATGCCTTTAGCAATTGCCCACCCACTGGCTTTAAGTTTGGTTGCGACGTCCGTCATGCCGGCATTTCCCACCAGCACTAGCAGACGAGAGCAAAAGCGTTCCGTAACCCCCCAGTGCTCGAATTCACTATCACCACTACCTTCCGCTTAATCATCATATCATAGTGATCCTAATCATCACGACAATTACTATTGGTCCTATTCTTATTGAGTAGCACACGTGTGTGCGAAGTAA